GAGCCGCCCGGCCAGCTCAAGGGTTCGGGAGGGGCCCTCGGCGGCGGCGCGGAAGGAGGAACTCAGCGACACCCGCGGCCGGCGTGCGGGTGGGGGCCGCGGCTGCAGTCCCAGCGCCGGCCGGCGGAGGCGGGAGGGACGCGGGTCTGGGCGCCCCAGCGAGCCTGCTCTCAAAGCAGAACTCGAAAGTAAAGAGGAGTGGGAGGGCAGCGAGGGAAAGCGGGTGCGGTCCCCGCCCTGCGCTGGGCCAGGTCCTCTTCCAGCGCCGCCGAGCCCGCGGTCGCGCTCACCCTGGATGTCACCAGGAGACGCGGGGTGCGCGCGTGCCGGGGCGGCCTCGCCTGCCGCCCCCGAGTCGCGAGTCAGCGGGAGTCGGGCGCACCATCTGCTCCGAGTCGGCAGTCTACTGGGGGGAGGAGGAGGCGTCCCCTGCGGCCCTTGCTCTGGAGGGAAGGGGCAGAGAAGCCCCCGCCGCTCCACGGACCGCAGCCCGAGCGCCCCCAGTCCAGGCTCGGGCTCAGTCCCACAGATCTGCGTGCAGCTCCCGCTTCCCTGGCCACCCCTCCACCCGAGAAGTGTTCTATTTTCGTTATGCACTTGCACAATCCCTCTCTGCTTTCTTTTGCAACCCTGACTTGAAATCATGTGTTTATTTGTTGACTCCGCCTCCCCTCGGTGGAGCCGGAATTGTTCCCGCGTACCCGCCGGAACACAGTAGGTGCCGAGAGGTGGGGCCGCGCCTGGGGGTGCCCAGAGCCTGGGTGGTCTCGGCCCCTAAGGAAGTGCGGGGGCGAAGCGCTGCGGGGAATGTGCGCGGGGCTGGGGCAGCCGCGGCCGGCAGGACCTCACAAGCTTTTGAGAACACCCCAGGGCTCCCCGCTGCTCCCCAATCCCAAGGCGGCCCGGTCCGGAACCCTCACCGGCCGCCCACCCTGGCCTTCCTCCTCGTCACCGGAGCCCCAGTGCGGTGTGGTGTCCGCGCAACCGGCCTGCGTACTTTTCCCCTGTGCACCGTGTTGTATCACATGGTCGATGTTCTGTCCTCTTTGGAAAATTAAATTCACCGTGGTTTTTGTTTTTGTTTTTTTTTTTTTAAAGAATTATTTATTTATCCATTCATTTTGTGTGTGTGGCCAGCTCAGCCCACCAGGGGGCAGGGCTGGCTGGCATGTGGTGCTGGGGGATTGAACCGCGGTCCCTGTGTTTTGCTTAGCTT